AACATCACTAGAACATAAGCACCTTTAGAAGAAGAAGAAGAATATCTCTTTTCGAATTTTTTCATAGTGATAATCTTTTGTTGTCGTAGTGTATACAAAAATAAGTTTAGCCTTAAATAAAGCCTCTCTCTATGCCAATATAAACAGTAAATTATGTTTTTTCTTTTAATATATCTCTCAATAATCCTTATTAACTAATATCATATTTTCCATTAAAATTTTTCTTCTTCTTCCAACGAAAACCACTGAGTAAACTGTTCCTCCAACTTTGTTGTCTTTAAATTTTTTAGGGACAAGTATACCCACGCCTGCTCGTGCTCGTTCTTCTTCCTTCACTCCACTGTATGCTAGAAGATATTGGTTACAGCCTCTTTGACTTTTCCTTTACCTTTCTTCTTGGTTTCTTTTATTGCACAAATGTCTATATTTTTATTTATCAATTCTTCTATTATCTCTTGGTCTTTGTTGTTGAAAGAAGTAATGTTCCATGTTGCTAATCCGATTGTGGGCTTATTTTTCCTTCTGGTTTTCCTTTTCTTTGCGTACTTCGTCCTCTTAGGTTCCGTGTGGTTCTGAAGAAAATAATAATATTAAATCTTTCTAACCCTAACCATTTTTAAAGTTTAATAAAAGAAGGATTTCCTGAAGATTAAAAAATCTTTTCGGATTCAATAAACAATTTTTATTTAGATGTATTTGATAGTTAAAGGTCTCGGTTACAACAAGTACGATTACAGTAATTTCTGTAAGCTAAGTAAAAGCTAACCTTGATGAAATCACACTAACTAACCTTCGTGCAAATAAAAAATCATAATATTTAGGAAGTTGTGCAAGGTTTCATTTTTAAACAATTTTTAATAATTTGAGATGTGTGAAATACTTATTAGTATGTGTATTAATGACTACGAGTTTTAAGGTCAAAACTAATACCAAGGAACTAGTTTTGCAACAGCAATTTGGATTGTTGGTAAAATATGTCTGGGTTGTTTCGAAATCTATAGATAATGACCAAGACCTTAGGTTTAATGGTTTTGGTAAATACAATCATAGTTGAAATGTTTTTCATTTTTTCGTGGTAATACTGTAGATTTCGTCGAATTTATCTTGTTAAACTATTGATTTATCTGGGATATCCTATGATTCGATACATTATGTGTATAATGAATAAAAACTTGTAAATTACCTATTATACAAATAAATGCGAAGAACAGATGTGCAATTTGGGGGTAAAAAAAGAAGTTGAATGTTTTTTAAACCGTTAAATGGGCTGCGTTTATGGGCTGTACAATTGTCAACAATTAAAATAATCTTTCGTTGTCTCAACTCTCTATTCCACTTCAAAAGTTCTCCACTAAAAATTTCTGCTGTCATCCACGATTTTTATTAAATTTATATGTGATAGGAAGCTAATTCACACCTCTGAAACATCGTGGCTTTTGAGATTTCCCAATGACGACTAACTTCCTTTTTTCGAAACCGGACATGTTGGCACACGTGAGTACAGTTACCCTTTCTTTTGATAACTTGCCACCTATACAACGTTTATTTTTAAATTTAAGGGTCTTATTTGGAGTAAGTTGAAAAAAAAATTCCAATTCGTCGGCATTAAAAACAATATCGTCACTGTAATTTTGTCTTATTGTAGGTAATGACTTCAACCAGTTGTCGGTGACCTCTTTGGAAAAACTCTTCGCTTCACCGCAAATTTTTCCACACACAATTTCGTGCCTGACCTTAAAACAGCTCATCCACCCACTCGATGCTTTAAAATTCTCATCACCACCTAGCGCCTGCAAAAACTGTGTTGCTTTTTCTTGAAACAGTGGTCTTATTGGAACATTCGCATCCCTGTTTAAGGTAAACCATTTGACCATTGCAGTATCGAGTTCTTTATTAGTTGCGGCACGTAGTTTTTTCGATTTACCGGAAAAAGTAGAACCTGCTTTGAAAATCTTGTGTTTATTTCTGAGCATGGTAGATAGAGTGGAACCTGAAATTCCTCTTTCACGACAAACTTCTGCTTTCTTCTTACCGTTCTCAACATCTTTAAGGATGTTAATTTTTTCTTCTAAAGTAAATGCTTTTCTTTTAGGAGTCATAGTGCATAATCTATATGACTATGTAATCTACAACACAACGTTCAAGACGCAAAAGTACAGTCATGAAACAAACGATAAACATCTACAACAAAAACAACTGTGAAATGAAATTCTGGTGCAATGTGTTTCATTTGTCATGCTTTTAAGTCTCTTTACGTAGTTTATTAGGTGTGAATGGTTAAACCCCTACACTCACACTTGTGAATCATAAATTGTATATTTCCGACAACACAATATCGGTCGGTAGATTAAACGAAAGAAGTAAAAAAACACGTTTTTTCAATCTTATTTTCTCTCGTTATAACCAAATTTGCCTCGCTATAGAGGGTTATAGTTCAATAGAAATTTCACGGGACATCTAAGGTACCTCGTTATAGGGGAAACCTCGTAATAACCATGTTCGTTATAGAGGGAGTATACTGTATTATAATTTTCTTAAATAATTCGTATATTAACTTAAAGTTTGCATTTAAATAAAATTACTTGACAGCTTTAAACAATGTTGAGAAATGTGGTATATATTAAGAAATATCACATTATGTTTACGATTATTTCTTATGGCTTTTACATAATATCGCAAAATACATTCTTGCTAATTGACCATTCATTTCATCCATACTGTCTACAAAAAATTATATTATCATATGTTTTGATATTTTAAGACCATACTAATTAAAAACTTGTTGCTTTACAATAGTAAGCAACTTATAAATAATAATAATAAATGTAGGTTACCAAGAGCATTAATACCAAGTGTTTCTAATTTGGAATGTTTACGAAGGTTGGACCTAGATTGTTTCTTAATAAAATGTTAAATTATCTTAAGTCAAATCATTATCATAATAATGCAATCGATTATTGTATAATATCTATTAATTAAAGAATAACTTTCGGCAATAGAATAAACCCATTCAATAATGATATATGCATAGTTTCTTTACTAAATACTTGTATATGTACGGTCCTTTCGCACTGCTCGGGAATTATTTGACAGATTCATTGTCGGAAGGATAAAATGTAAACATACCTTACTTACATACTATCTAAGCTTAGCCTTTCTATCTTTAGGTATAAGGCGGTTTGGATTGAGCTCTGCATATCTCCCTTCACAACTTTCTTCCTGATGCCATCTATCCATCTAGCTCTTGATCTTTCTTTTCTGTTTTTCCTTGCACTCGTGTTTCAAACGCTTGTTTTGTAAATCTTTCGTTCGACATTTGACACACATGCCCGTACCATCTGAGTTATTCTTCTGCGATTTTATCGTTTATGAGTTCTAGTTGTAGGTTTTTTCTATTTTTCTCAGGAATCCTATTTCCACAGCACTGATTCTTGATTTTTGTCTCTTTGTTAGCGTCCAGGTCTCACTTATACTTAATCGTTGACCTTACTACTGATTTAATGAGTACCGTTTTTATCTCCTTTTGTATGCCCCTTTTTCCTAGAAGTGTTGTTTTCATTGTATTTAATGTTTCCGGTCCATCCCAATTTGTCGTTGATTTTCTGTTCCTAGTTTCCGTTTGGTTCTATGACTGCTCGTAGTTATTTAAAGTGATCTACCTGTTCTGTTCTATACATATCTTTTAAAATTTCTATTCTGTTACCATTCACTGCTCTTTCTCGTAATGTTTTCCATACGTCATTTCTTCGAATTCTGCAAAACTCCTTCCCTAGATATATGTGGCATATATGTATATTTTTGTTTTTCTTTAATATCTTCTCACTCATTTATCTTATTGTGAATATGAGGTCTTGCGTGCTTATGTTATTTCTGAATCCACATTGCCTGTCTTCCAGAACTGAATCTAATTTAGTCCTTATATTCTTTTCTCTACTATTGTTGCCTTGTTGCAAATACTTGTCCTGGTATACTTGACAGAGTTATGCATCAATAGTTGGTACAGTTTCGCTTGTTTCCGTTCTTATGGATTGGTAGTAAAATGTCTTTTTTCCAGGCCTGTAGTATTTTCACTTTGTAAATTAATTCCTGTAAATAATCTGTTCCTTCTCTTGCTACGGATTTTATCATTTCTGGGGTAATGTTATCCTTGTCCGATGCTTTACCTAGTTTAAAACCATATCTATAGACTTCACCAATTCTTCTCTTTATGGGTTCTATCTCTTGCTCTTCGTTTCATTCTTCATCTCTCTGTATCCTTGTATGTAGCATTATTATTGTTCATGTTTCCTCTTTCATTAATTTTATTTTCACTGTAAGTATTCTCTCGTTGACATAATTTTCTTCTACAATATCTTTTAACTTATTTGGTGCGATTACTAGTCCCACACCTTCTTTTGTCTCTTTTTTGTGTCTGCTTCTGTCTAAAATAGCCAGCATCCTTTGTGTCATTTCTTCTTTTCAAGTCAAGTCTTTTCATATCTCTCATGTGGTTAACAACTCAAATAAACTTACTATCGCAGGTCTCTTGCAATGAAAGAAGAAGAAGAATCATGATTACGGGAGTGCAGTGGTCATCGTGATGTCGTTTATTGTCTGTATCTAAAGATATTTATATCTGGTCATTTCTTTTAACTCATGCATGCAGTAGGTCTTTTGCATATTCCTGTAATTTGATCGATTCATTTTATTGGGGATCTTTCTCGTGATCTTCAGCTTTCCTTGGATATCCAACTTTCCTTGGATAGCCCAAGAGTGGATTGTTGAGAGACGTCCAAAGAGTCAGAATACCTGCTGACACAGCAACAGCATTAACGAGCTGTTTACAACAAAATGTTTTAAATTTTGATTTTTGATTTATGATTTATGGAATGTAATGATACTTTCTTTAGCCGTAAAATAGAAAATAGTATTTTGTTGCTATTCCTGCATATATTTTTTGATATTTCCTTGTAACAGAGTACATACTGGTGTTAGCTTAATATCATTTTCTTTGTTTTTCAGTCCAAAAACATCGTCACCATGTCTAGAGAAATCTCGAGAAGACTCTCTCTGACAGCTTTACAAATTCAGAGAGCTTATGCAACAGATCGGCCATATTCCACAGCTCTGGGAGTTGTACCTGATGAAATGCAAGACAAAGACATCTACGAATACAAGATCGAAAAGGTGGATCCCATCCCCAAAGACTACAAAGAGATTCCTGGTCCCAAAGAGCTTCCGTTTATTGGCAATTCTTGGAGGTTTGCACCTATTATTGGTAAGTGACTGAAGAAACAACAAAACAAACAATTTGGTTTATTTTAATATTTTAATTCGGATGTATAATAACCATTAGGACTATAAGCTACTCGGATCTTTTGTATTTTAGTATTAACTAAATCTCGTGGCTCAGATATTTATGATTAGACATTACCTAGTCTGTGATTGTCGTTCTTACGCACGTATTTCTATATGCATATTTTAGATATATTCATTTTCAGTCTACCTTCTACCGAAGAAAGGATTTTGGTTAGCCAGAAGCATAATATTATATGCAAACTTTAGATAACTAAGCTTTTCTCTACATATCTTATCCTTTTTGGTAGGATTTGTCCTTTTAAATATATACTTATTGGTGGTGTATGGTGTGCCACAAGAACAGCTGAAGAATGGTTTATTAAACATAAAAACATTAACAAGAACCAACGAGGAGACCAAAGTCAATAATAGACTATGTGATAGAAAGGATAAAAGAAAGGAGAGTTGAAGCACCAGAGTAAACAGAGCAACCAAACGTGGCTCTGATCATGATCTGCTAAAAGCAAAAATCTATTGTTGCTGATACGGAAAAAATTTCTGAAATCCAACATATCCAAACCGTCAAACTACAAAACACAACTCAACACAACAAGAGAGAGAAAATGCAAGAACCGAAAAAAAAACGGAGAGCTATCATTTCCACCAATAACATCGAACTTTTTCTACATTTACGTCCTTGTTGTCTTAACCAGTATCCCTGTACAGGGTTGGGTGTTATACTCTGCTAAATTTGATCTAAACCTAATCATTATTTACCCATGCGAGTGACACAGAAGCTGACTCTGTGTTCCATGATCTCAGTTACTAAACTAAGTATGTGTGATACCAAGCTCAAAGGCTTGATTCAAGCATTAATCAAGTAATGTTTCCTTTCAGGTCACTATAAAATTCATGAATTAGACAAAGTAATGTGGTCGTTACACAAACAATATGGCAAAATCGCCAAAGTTAGTGGTTTGATTGGCCATCCAGATTTGCTGTTTATTTTTGATGGTGACGAGATCAAAAATGTTTTCAAGAAAGAAGAAGCCATGCCTCATCGACCATCAATGCCCTCGTTGCACTATTATAAACAAAAGTTGCAGAAAGACTTTTTCAATGGAAATGAAGGAATTATTGGAGTGTAAGTTCTTTTAGTACATCAATCTATAAATAAAATAAAATAACAGTACCTATATTAGATATTTTGAAGATGAATACTCTCATTTTTAAGTTGATCTCTATTTGCTAGCTTCTAACACATTTTGATTGCTTATAGCTGTCTTTTCTTTTCTTCTGTACCTGTTATTACATCACTGTGTTTTTATTTTAGTTTGTTATAACACACTTCCTTTTGCAGACATGGTCCCAAATGGGAGACGTTTCGGAAACAAGTGCAGCAATTTTTGCTACCCCCAATAACAGCTAAGAAATATATCGAACCCTTAGATCAGATCTCAACTGACTTTATAAATCGGTAAGTCAATATATTTAAATAAAGTCAATGTTTAATAAAATCAACGAAAAATCAGAAATATAGAATGTTTCATATAAAAATGATTGCACGTCATTCAAGATTTATGACGTCAGAATCACACAGCGTTGCCAAAACATCAAAATAGTTAGTAAGCGAGGAATTTTTAAAATGTCGACTATTTGTCAAACCATTATATTAACAGTAAATACACTTAGTTTTAAGACTACTACAACACACTAAAATACAAAAGAAACAGTTTAATACAAAATTATTATTCTAAATTTAATACTTCTCTTTGAGATCTTTAATAGTAAAAACGTCCCGCCAGTATTTCTTTTTCAAAATTATCTTATATGAAAGCTTATCAGGTTTCTACAGACTATTTAGTTATTGGCATAGCACAATCACAATACACAACAATAATTAGTTTTTAAAGCTATTAATATAAATTTAATATGTATTTATAAATACAATTTATTAATATATAATATACTATGATCAAATTGTGTAAGAAATCAAAACATGAACAAAATTCTTACTTTAAAAAAGCGGCAACTCTTTAAACAATTTTGCCAGACGCTGAAACTGTCAATAAAATTTGAGGTATTCCCGTATCAGTTGCGTACAATTGTCTAATATATTTAATTAAAATTATTATTTTGTGGAATATTAGACTTAAAGAGTTATTTCATAAAATTTATATTATTAACAATAACAAATATTTTTGGTTATTTAATCAATATAATTCTAAAATTTCCAATATAATGGTGATTACATTTTTCTGATTCTGAAATCGAGCAGTTCCGTATGGGTTTCGAATTATTAGCTGTGTTAAGAAAATTTGAACTCTAAGGTTGACGTTCTGGAAATTTTAAATATAAGTGACGTCATTTTATATAAACTGTGACGTGCAAGCACTTTTATATGAAAAATGCTATACAGTCGGAAAAATGAAAGGTTACCCATGAACAATCACATCAATCACTTATTTTGTATTTGCTGTCTTTTTCTATAATAATGTTTGTTATTTATATAAAAAGACGGCAAATTATACAAAAAAGTGATTGATATGATCATTCATGGGTAATCTTTCATTTTTCCGACTGTATTTTTTTGATCTATTACCAAAAGTTAACGTCTACAAAGCATTATGTAAACTATAAAGTATTTTTCTTGTCAAAAGAAAAATTTCATATGCGATTTTCTCTGTAATCCAATTGTTAGCCAATAACACAATGTATTTCAAAATTGACGGTAACTAATGAAAGTGAACAATGCAATACAAATATACGCTTACACGGAAGAAAGACTAGTAGTTTAATTATATAGAGTGTATATTAAGTTAATAAGAACTTACGAAATAAAATAACATCTGCTGTTGGTCTAAAGTTATAAGCATCCATATTGTAGAATATTTTTATTGAATTTGAAATAATGCCTTATATAATTACTGATAAATATTACTGTACAGTAACGATAACATTTATTACTACAAAAAGGCAGCAGAAACGTCTGAAGAAACGGTATCGAACGAATCCATACTAATATGAATGTTAAAATCATATATAAAGAAAATTATCTTCTTTCTTCCTAACAATCCCTAAGGACATTGGCGATCATAATGGCTCTATAATTAAGATATTTGAGATATGTATTGAATGAAAAACTGAATAAATTATTTTTATTGTTTCTTTTGTCCATTTTGTACGAATTTTTTTCTACTATAATCATAAACGATCATCGAAATTTCAGAGATATGTTATTACTATCTTTTATTCGGAGTTGTGTTATATAATCACTATTTATTTAATTGAGATCTCTTGAGAGATGTCCTAATAAGATGCGCACTATACACATTGCAAGCGAGAAGTTTACAATTTCTGCATTTGTCAACGATCAAGTACAAGATGTATTTGGTAAGATGCTTAATAAATACCATATCGTGCGCAACTATAGCTAGTTGACACGATTCTGCATTTATCTAGTGTGGAATAATCAGACTAGATTCTTTAATTTTGTCTTCATTTTTGGTCTAACATTTATGTGATAGTTTAATCTCGACAGCCGCGTGTGATTGATATTTGTTTCTTACTCGTGGTGAATTATAAATTTGGTCCTAGCAGAAAGTTATTTGTATTTTCACCACTTTTTTATAAAAACTTATTCTAAATAAAAAAGAAAAACTTACATATGTCCTATTCGTTTACAAACTCTGCTTACAAGTGAGAGATGCTACAAAACTTTGTTACTACATGGAGGTTAACCTTATTTAAAAACAACAAAGCAAACTAATGTCAAATATGATTAGATAGTACAATATTAATGATTACAAATTCTTTTTGTTATGAAATTAAATTAGGATTACTAAAAAAATGTCTATCTTTACTTTAAATTTTAACACAAAAAAGTTACCTGGATTTACACAAAAATTCTGGTGGTAGAACTTGAACCCAAACTATGACACACGATTAGAAAAAGTACAGCATAAAGCGAGAAACAATTTACAATTTCATATTTTTTACCTTCTTTTTTTAAATATCCCGAAAATTACTGAATATATGAAAAAAAAAATAAGAATGTACTAAATTGTAGCTTTTTTAATGACTAAAATTTTACTTTATTTAGATTTGTTGTACAATGAATATTTGGCGAGATATAGCCGTTTAAAGCATCGATTTACGATCAAGCACCATCTTTTTCGAGCCCTTTAAACACACCCCATTTAAAAACCAAGGGTTCCAAAAAGATTTAATTCACAGATCCTTGTAGCTCTTAAAAACCTCTACAAAATCGTTTTTGAAGAAACACTCTATCGTTAAAAATGAAGGAAATACGTTAAAAAAACCAATTAATTTTTTTTCCGGAAAATTTTATTAGTATAGTACAGTACTATTTCGGAGCATAATAATCTACAAAACCGGTATATTAGGTAGTGGGGCGTTATACATTCGAAATTTTAAGCGTTCTTATTTTGAAATCTCATACAACAGAATAAAACATCTGCTCATATGTCTAGGGCTTGGCAATGAAAATATCAGAGCAACAGATTGGGGATGATATTCCAAAGATTGTTTGTTATTACCCGTACGCATGAACAAACAACCTGCACCCGTTGTGCTTGTGAACTTGTGAAAATTATTTTTTGCCAATGCAAAAAAGGATGCGGCGTTTCATGTGGGTGCAGAAAAGTTGGTTTATACTGTAACTCTACTTGTTCTGGGTGCTCAGGTGAAGGGTGCAATATTAAATGTAAATATTTTCAACTATTTATGTAAATGTATAAGAATATATGGTGCCTTTTTATGTTGATAATTTTTTTTGTATTTAATTCTACTTTTTTCAATTTATATCTATTAAATTAGTTTATAAAAACTGCAATGTTGTAAAGGGTGATTTTCAAAGGTTGAAAAGTTGCAAAATTTTGGCAAAAGATTGTTTTCAGTTATAGCACTAATAACAATTGATTTTTAAGGGTTGAAAATGTATGAAATTGTATTTTAAAGTATAAAAAAATCACTATTTAACCAATCCAGACCAAATTTCATTCATCTTAAGATATGTAATGTTATTTTACAATTTTTGAAAATTAGGTGTAGTTTTCACCCCTAAGAACAATCAGGGTTCATCGGCATGACATAAACTATAAAGCAGAGGGTGAGTTGAGCTTAAATCCAAATTTTTATGCAAATCGTTCCAAGGCGAAATCATTTTCTTCGCATTACTACTTTTTTACATTAATCTCTAACAAAGGTCGCTTTTTAAGGGTTGAAATATGATGGAACCTTATTCAAAAATACGAAACTATCATTATTTAATTAATTCAAACCAAATCTTATCCATATTCAGGTTTAATATGTTATTTTATAATTTTTGACAATTAGGGGTAGTTTTCACCCCTAAAACTCTTCAGCGCACTTCGGTTCGATATAGATTTTGATCCTTGTGCTATCACCTACCTTCTGTTAAAATTTCAACTAAATTTATGCAGGACGAAAAAATTGCGAAGTTTTAACTTTTTTCGAGCTTCATTTCCTGAACTATTATCGCTTCCTTTACGCAAACAACATTGCGTAAAGGAACCATCCTGGTATGGATTTATTTTTATCCAATTTGTCCAAGTTTTATATTGGTCCACTATTTCAAATGCAGTTCAAACAGACATATATTAAATTGTATGATCCGTTTTAAATTCGTTCAATCTATATATATATATATATATATTATATATATATATATATATATATATATATATATATTATATATATATATATATATTATATATCGGGAAAAGGAGTACGACCGTCAATCCAATATATATATAAGGATCACTCAGACGAGTGGTGGGTTCTTATATCGGTCTCTAGGTGGAGAAATAAAAGACAAAGTTGATAGGCTACTTTATCTATTTTGAAGACGTTTCGCTTTCGAGTTTTGAAAGCATCATCAGTTCATCTAAAAAATTATTACAATATGAGAACCACACAATCATGGAAACGATGTTAACAATTAACAGTTAAGGTAACAATTAACATCGTTTCCATGATTGTGTGGTTCTCATATTGTAATAATTTTTTAGATGAACTGATGATGCTTTCAAAACTCGAAAGCGAAACGTCTTCAAAATAGATAAAGTAGCCTATCAACTTTGTCTTTTATTTCTCCACCTAGAGACCGATATAAGAACCCACCACTCGTCTGAGTGATCCTTATATATATATATATATATATATTTATATATATATATATATTATATTTATATTTATTATATATTTATATATATATATATATATATATTTTTTATATATATATATATATATATTATATATATTATATATATATACATGTGTGTGTGTGTGTGTGTGTGTGTGTTGAATAAATACTCAGTTTAAATTATAAAATGTTTTGTAATAAAATCAAACTGTATAATTTTTATAATTTGCGTGAAATTTTCCCTAAGCTGCGTAAAATTACTGGGGTAAATCGGGTTAACTTAGTAAATT